TGTAAATTCTGTATCTTATATTTAAAAAAAAAAAAGTTGCCTTTGAGTCAATTCCAACTCATAGTGACCCTATAGGAGAGAATAGAACTGCCCTACGGGGTTTATAAGAAGCAGCTGATGGATTCAAACTGCTGACCTTTTGGTTAGCAGCCGTAGCTCTTGGCCATTGCGCCACTAGGGCTCCGTATCTTAAGTAAGTATTCTAATTTCAATTTGTGATGATTTCTGCTTGCATAGAGACTGAGGATCAAAAAAATCAATGAAAGAGGATAGACAGTCTTAACAGGAAGGGCTCACTTCATACATTTGCAGAAGTTGTGTGCTGTAAAACTTTAAGGGATGCTGAGAAGAGAGATGTGTGAGAGAGGATTAGTTTTATTACGTAAATGATTGTTTTGGTATTTTGATGATATATGTTTTCCTATGCAAGCCTGACACTCAATCAATAACATGGTCATGAGAACACCACCCTCGACCAACTAGCAGTTAATAAAAATTGTTGATTGGTGTCATTGAATTTCACATGTAGAAATTTTTGAGGTGGTGTTGTATATTTCCACCACAATAAATTTTTTTTAAAATGAAAAAAAAAATTGTTGATTGAATGACTGAATATACAAGATCTGCTTTTCCTGTGTCATTTAATACCGAGTTCATCTCTCCAAGATAACATCTAGAAATAAGACACTTGTGAGACAAATAAATATAATGTCTTAGTTATCTAGTGCTGCTATAACAGAAACAACACAAGTGGATGGCTTTAAAAAACAGAAATTTATTTTCTGACAGTTTAGGAGGCTAGAAGTCCGAATTCAGGGTGCCGGCTCTAGGGGAAGGCTTTCTCTCTCTGTTGGCTCTGGGGTGTCTCTTCTGAGCTTCTGCTTCTGCGTGATCTTCATGTGGCTTGGCATCTCTCTTCTTCCATCTCTGCTACTCGCTTGCTTTAATCTCTTATATCTCAAAAGATATTGCCTCAAGATACATCCTACAGTAATCCTGTCTCATTAACATAACAAAGAAAACCTATTCCCAAATGGGATTATAACCACGGACATAGAGGCTAGAATTTACAACATATATTTTTGGAGGACGCAGTTCAATCCATAACTTATAGTAATCAAAAACATATAACAAAGGATTTTTGAGCACTGGCTCTGTTTAAGACACATTCTAGGCACTTTCAGGGTATGCAAGGATAAATTAGCCATGAGATGATGAACGTTAATAGCTAAAACAATGTTGATTTTCTATAACAAATATATAGCATTCAGACATTCAAAAGACTGTTATCCCTTTTGATGCAGTTATTTTTGGAGCCTATCCATTTATTCATTCATTCACTTCACTTAAGAAATATTTATTGAGGGCCAATTATGTGACAGATAGTGTTCTGAGTAGTAGAGATAGAGTGGTGAACAAGACAGACAAGTAGCTCTGATGAAATTTACATTTAGTTGGAGGAGACAGACAATAAACCGATGGATTAATAAACAAAAATATCCAACAGAACTGAGATAGTGTGATATGACAACACGGTATGTCTGGACCACTTGAGATGGAGTGATCTGCGAAGGCCTATCTGAGCAGGGGATGTAGAAGCCATGATCAGCCATGTGCAAGTGAGGGGAGAGCGTTCCAGGTAGAGGCAGATAGAGTTTAGTATTTGTAAGAGCACCCAGGAGGCCCTCCTGGGCCAGAGGAGCTGAGGTAGGGGATTAAAAGAGTTTGAAATTTATTCTCAGTTCAATGAGAAGCCACATAGGTTAGTTAAAATGTCAATATTTGCTTTGTTAAAATATTATGCTGGTTGTTGTGTGGAGAAAGGATTGTAAAGGGCAAGTATAAAATCAGAGAGGCTAGTTAGGAGGCTATGGCAGTAGTCCAGGTGAAAGATGGTGGGGGCTTGAATCAGGGTAGTAGCAATGGAGATAGAAGTGTACAGACTGGGATATAAGATTTTGGAAGTTGACTTGACAGGACTTGGCTACTGAACTGGATGTGAGTTGAGGGAAACAGAAATTTAGAGTAATTCCTAGATGTTTGGTTTGAGTAACTAGGGAGATGGTGGTGTTATTTATTAACATGAGGCATGAGGAAAACTGGCAGAATGTGAGATTGAGGCAAGATGACTGGTGGGGCATTAAGAATTCTGTTTTTCCCATTTTAAGTTGTCTATTTTGATATCCAAATGGAGCTGTCAAGCAGAGAGTTTGATTAAAAAATAAAAAAGTAAGGACATCTCTGTATTCTATTGAGAAGGAATCAGTTGGGGCTAGCTTTTAGTTAGGTAGATGAAATTGTTAAAATATCCTTTTATTATATTAAATAACAATTAAAAATAATTTAAAGTAACATAAAATATGTTAATTTACACATGTTGCTCTTTTCCTATCTTAATATTTTCCTAAATGACTTTATTCAAAAGCTTCACATAGATTTTTGACATCAGTGTCTTTGACACCACTAGTGCAATTTTGGGGGTTATGTGTTTTTCAGGTATGTCACCCTGATTTCTATCTAAGTTTCTGAGATACAGCATTATGTTAATCACTGTATGTTGTCACTGGAAATTGTATCCCAAGCCACAGCATACGTTTATAAAACATTAACACAGTTATATATGTTTAAAATATGTGCTGTACTTGTATATTTGTGATCTGTACACTATAACTACCTACTATATTGCTTTTTAAAGAGATCTTTAAAGGGTTTTTATAACTATATCAAACACTTATGAGGTAACCTTGACAACATCTGTTATCTTTTTTTTTTACCCATTTCATTCTAGACTAATATAACTTAATTTCTAGCTAGTATGTATTTAACAAATAATACATCGTTGTCCAAAAAAGAATAATGAAGGGAACCTCCATAAGTGAAATACTAAGCCATTTTCATTGAATCAATTCCAACTCAAGCAAACCTATAGGACAGAGTAGAGCTGCCCCATGGGGTTCCAAGGCTGTAAATCTTTATGGAAGCAGACTGCCACATCTTTCTCCCTCAGAGTGGCTGGGGGTTTCGAACTACCGACCTTTCAGTTAGCAGCCAAATGCTTACCCACTGTGTCACCAGGGCTCCTGAAATACTAATGTCTGCCTCGTGTTCCACTGTATATATACATGCCATGATGCATTTAGCCAGCCTTCTATTGGAGGTATTAGGTTGCTTCTTATCTTTGCAACAACAAACCAACCACCCACTGCCGTGGAGATATTTCCAACTCATAGAGACCCTATAGGACAGAGTAGAACTGCCCCATAGGGTTTCCAAGGAAGCCAGTTGCCAGATCTTTCTCCTGTGGAGTAGCTGATAAATTCGAACTGCCTTTTGGTTGGCAGCCGAATGCTTTAACCACTGCGCCACCAGGACTCCTGCAATAATAAACAGTGCTACGGTAAATACGCTTGAACTTCCTTTGGCACATATGCAAAATCTCTGGAAGAAAGGATAAATGTATTTTAAAGTTTGTTAGAGATTGCCTATATGCCCTCCAAAGAGGCGGTATCAGTTTTTATTACAGCCGAAAAGATTGGACAATGTTTTATATCCCTGCACTCTCAAAGTAGTGCATCTTCAAGCTTTTTTCTCTTGGCCTGTTTGATGAAAATAACCGGCTTTGTCATTGTAGATTGGAGATCGCATTACTCTTACTATAGGCAAATTCTTTTGAATATCCTCAGTGGTAGCAAGATTTGTCTTTTGAAGGTAAATTTGAGTTTTGGAAAAAGTCAAGTCTTATGCATGAGAGAGATAATTAAGTTAGATATTACTCTAGGTTTTTTATTTTTTTTTGTTTATTTTGGGAGGAGGGGTTAGTAAAAATTGAGACCTGACTTTTAGAAGAAACTAGTGTTCTCATTTGGCTTATAAGTTGCCTCAAAAGGTAGTTTCAAAAGAAGAGTTTCAAAAATGTTTAAAGCAATGGCACCATCAATTGATGTAAGATTACAGCTTTCAAAGGAGAATTTTTTGAATTGAACAACACTCATTTGGATGTGATTGATCTGGTGTTTTTGTTTTTTGTTTTTTTTTTAATCATACTGTGAAGACTTTATCTCAAATGGTTTATTTCATAGGAGGGTACTTTAAAAACATAAATAATCTCGGTTTCATTTGACTGAATTTTTTTAAATTAAGTACTGCCACTTTTTAATTTTCCTCCTTTATATGAGTAGATAATCCAGAAGAAGGGATCGTTTTTACCATTATTTTTTATTGAATGAGCATTATTAGAATAACATTTACAGAAGCCTATAATCTTTCTGCTCACCTGATCAAATTTTATATTTTCTATTTCTACTTCTGCATCTTATCTGCCTATATATAGTGATATACAGATATAACGATCTAAAATTATGCATATTAGCCAGCCAAATTTAGGTAAATATTTTTTTTTAATTTTAAAATATTTAACTTCAGAACAAGTTATGTGTTTTAAATAACAAATTAACTTCCATATGTATTTTCCTAACACTAATGTTGAGTTTAGTGTCTTAATGGGAGTGGCAGACTTGTTGCTTGATGTGTTATAAATCAGATAATCTACAAATATGTATTTGGAATTCTGACATTATTAAAATATTCATTGAAGTAAGTATCTTTTACAGTTTTTCAGAATGAAATTGTCTTAACTAAATCACCATGTTTTTCTTTGAAAAATAAAGTAGTTATCTGATTAGTTTACTATAAAGGGGTTTTCTTAGCAGCTTTTGGGGAGTAGCACAGGTCCCTGGGTGGTACAAGCAATTTGCTAGCCACTGCTAACCCAGAGATTGGTGGTTTGAACCCACCTGGTGGCACCACAGGAGAAAGGCCTAGTGGTATGCCTCCATAAAGATTACAGCAGAGAAAACCCTATGGAACAGTTATACTCTGTAACACATGGGGTCACCATGAGTTGAAATTGACTCAACGACATCGGGTTTGGTTTTGGTTTGCTTTGGGAGGTAGCACCGTCCCTCTTCAAATATTTAATGTGTCTGGATGTTCTGTTCCAGAGAAATGGTCAATGCATGGTTTGCTGAGAGAGTTCACACCATCCCTGTCTGCAAGGAAGGCCTCAGAGGCCACACCGAGTTTTGCTCTTGCCTCTCACAGCAGACGTCTCATGCAGATAGCAGTGCTCCTGGGACACCAACCAGGAAAATCTCCGCTTCTGAATTTGACCGGCCTCTTAGACCCATTGTCGTCAAGGATTCCGAGGGAACTGTGAGCTTCCTCTCTGACTCAGAAAAGAAGAAACAGATGCCTCTTACCCCCACAAGGTTTGATAATGAAGAAGGGGATCAGTGCTCACGGCTCTTGGAATTAGTGAAAGATATTTCTAGTCACTTGGATGTCACAGCCTTATGCCACAAAATTTTCTTGCATATCCATGGACTCATCTCTGCTGACCGCTATTCCCTGTTCCTTGTCCGTGAGGACAGCTCCAATGACAAGTTTCTTATCAGCCGCCTCTTTGATGTTGCTGAAGGCTCAACACCGGAAGAAGCTTCAAATAACTGTATCCGCTTAGAATGGAACAAAGGCATTGTGGGACATGTGGCCGCACTTGGTGAGCCCTTGAACATCAAAGATGCATACGAGGTAAATAGGGAACCATCAGAGCAGAGGTGGGTGGGAGGAGAATATGAGTGAGAACGACTGTTTTGAATGGTGGGGATATTTGAAACTGAGAAGAAATAGAATAACTGAAATGTAATAATTTGCACACTTATTTCAAACTGGACTGTATAGAAGAGGTTTCCCATCTTTTAAATGCAAGAGTTTAAAAAGTTTCTTTAAAGAGTCAAGGATATGGATCTGAGTGAAACCTTGTCTTGTTTTCCTCCTTAATGATAATTTAAGGTAGCTCATCCCATCATTGTATTCTCTCAGCTTTTTACCTGATTTTACCTGATAATATTTGAATAGTCATCATATTATCTTCATATGAACTTCTAAAGGTTTTACTGAGACTCTAAAATGAGAAGTTCAAAATGAATAAAACAAAAACTGTCCAAAAAACCCCCACCAAACGCAAACATTTCTCATTAAATCATGTTCGTTCAAAGTTACATTGATACCAAAGTTGTTTTTCTTTCCATCCATACTTTTGTTTGTTTTTTTTTAAAAAAAAAAAAACAAACTTTTGAATGTTTTGGAAAAAATGAATATTTTTGCCCTAGGATTTGATATTTCTTCCACTTTTGCTATAGTTAATCACTGGTCTTTAATTATGGGCTTAAGGATTACATTATAAGATTCTTACATTTCCCATTTAAAAGGATCCTTTTTATTAATAAAATTATGGTTTTTAAACAAAACAAAAACATACCAAATTGCATGACAGTTGGTATGTTTGCAAGGTATTTTATAACACCTCAATTAAACAATTGTTTTAGCTATCTGCTACGTGGTACACTAAATGGTTCAGTGGTAATTGGCTTGCTCTTACGTGATTTGGGGGATCATAACTGTTTTATTTGCCCTTGTATTCCTGCTTCCTAATACAGTGCCTGGCACATAGTCAGGTCTTAATAAACATTGGTTGAATGAAAATTATAGTAGATAGCCAAAAAAAAAAACAAACCCATTGCCATCAAGTCGATTCCGACTCATAGCAACACTATAAGGCAGAGTAGAACTGCCACATAAGAGTTTCTAAGGCTGTAAATCTTTATGGAAGCAGACTGCCACATCTTTCTCCCAGGAACTGGCTTGTGGGTTCAAACTGCTAACCTTTTGCTTAGTAGCTGAGTACTTAACCACTGCACCACCAAAAAAAGCAAACAAACCCGTTGCCGTTGAGTGGATTCTGACTCATAGCAACCATAGAAGTTGGAGTAAAACTGCCCCATAGGGTTTTCAAGGAGCAGCTGGTGGATTCGAACTGCTGACCTTTTGGTTAGCAGCCATATCACTTGACCACTGTACCACCAGGGCTCCTTAAATATAAGAAAAAGCAGATCTTAATAGGTGCCAAGGAAAATGTGGTGGATTCAGGGAAGGAAGAGATGACATCTAATTGTGAAGATGGGGAAAGTTTCTCTGAGGATGCAGTGCTTGATGTAACCCTGGAAAATAAGATTTGAATAGACCGAGATGTGTGCATGGAGAGATCCAGATGTAAAGAACAGTTTGAAGAAGCTAGAAGGAAGTTGGGCTGTGTGACTCTTATTTGGAGATATATGGGTAATACTCAGGATATACATTGAAGAGCTCTGGGAACAGGGCTGGGAGATTACTAGGGTCTTGAATGCGACGCTGAAAAATAATGTGTTCGGTTCAGAACCATGAGGAACAATTGAGCGTGGTTTGATTCCAACTATGTGTTAAAGACAAATTTCACAGTGATTATAAAATGAATTAGAGGAAGAAATACTGGCAGCTGAGAGAATAGGAATTTTTTTAATAGACCAGGTAGGAGGAAGTGAAGACCTGAACCAGGTAACTGGCCTTCAAGATCAAAGGAGAGAATGGATTTCAGATGAAGAGATAGAATCTGCTGGCCTATAGGGGATGAAAGGAAGGGGAAAAGAGAAGTTGAAGGTGACTCAGGTTTTGAAGTTGGGTGAAGGTGAGGACCACCCAGGCGAGGGATGTGGGGAAAGATGTGATAGATAGTTCAGGTAGATAAAATCCTGAGACCTTTGCTTTTCAGAATCCATTCTACTGAAAAGAAATGCAGTTTGTATAAGCAATTTATTTCTTTCTCGATTCTGTTTGACAGATTTACTAGTCTTCTGGAGCTATCTTCATGACTTCTTTCAGCTCTGTAGTAACGTCACACTGTAGCAGATCCAAGGGGGTATTAAGGACACAGCTGAAGGATTGCTGCCAAATCTGCAGAATTCCCTTCCTGTCTTTGTTGACAGCTGGGTTTCAGCTTTTCAGTGGCAGTACAGTCCCAGTACAGTAGGATCATAAACTTTCTTCAGCTTTGCTGAGAAAGCCTTCGTTTGTCTGCATGGGTCTAAGTTTCTCCAGCCCTGAGAAGTCTTCATTTGTATGCATATTATTTACTCTACTTATCATCTTAAAATCTTTGACAATGTATTTTTTGTTTTGCAGTTAATAATGATTGTTTTCCTCTGCTGTTCTCGAAAAGAGGCCCAGTGTCCTCGATTTGCAGTGCTCCCAGGGGTGAAGCCTCTTAGCCCATGGATTCCTCATGTTGCCACTTCACCCTTGGCACCCTTGATGTGGGTCCATAGTGGCCTTTGCCGAAGTTATTCATGTCCCAGGAATTTCATTAGAAGTTGTGGGGTTGATCAGTGACATTTATTTACTACACTAGTATTAGCAGTGGAAGGCAGTTGGCTAATGAGTAGTAGTTCATTACTCAGCCCTGTCCAAATTTGAATAATCAAAATACTGGCCCATAGCCCTTTGTGAAAGTAGTTATAGTTTGAAAATGCATTCTATTATTTTCTTCTGAATTCTCCCTAACAGTACTTTTTCTTTAAGCGTGCATCTGTAAAAATGACACTCTAAAGCAATATGCTTTAAGCTTCTTTAACCACAGAACAGTTTAAAGATTGTAATGTAGCAGTGGGAAACAAAGTGGTGGTCATGAAATATAATAATGTGCAGATTAAAACCACAAATAAAAAGTAGTCTCATAGGTAAATTAATTGTAAGAAATGGTCAACATTTGATTCACTTTTTAAGACTTTGTAATAGAGTGAAATAAATTCAATTTTTTATTACTAATGAAATAGCACATTGATATATTTAAAATATAAGACAAGATCCACAATTTAGACTACTAATTCTCGATTAGACCACAAATACTAGTGAAAGGTGCACACATCACCTCCTCTTGCATCAGCCAGTCACTCATGTATCTTCCCTTGGATGTGGCACAGCATTTGTTAATGATAAGAAGATATTAACACATAATAATAAGAGCAACTATATTAAATGTGTTTGGGGTTTTCCTTCTCTATAAAAACTAGGTATCATTTGATATCTAGACTGGATTGCCTTGAATCCCCATTTCCATGTCCTCTGGAAGGTGGTGCAGTGGTTAAGCAATTGGCTGCTAACTGAAAGGTCAGTGGTTTGAACCCACCAGCCACACCGTGGAAGAAGGATGTGGCAGTCTGCTTCCATAAAGACTTTAGCCTTGGAAATCCCACGGGGCAGTTCTACCCTGTCCTGTAGGGTTGCTATGAGTTGGAATCAACTCAACGGCTATGGCTTTGGGTTTTGGTTTAAGGGAAGCCTTAAGGAGCTTTCATGGTGCAATTGTTAAGCACTTGGTTGCTAACCGACAGGTTGGCGGTTCAAACCTGCCCAATGGCTCTGCAGGAGAAAGACGTGGCAATCTGCTTCCATAAAGATTACAGCCTAGGAACTATGGGGCAGTTTACTCTGTCACACGGGGTTGCTTTGAGTCACATTTTATGTTGTCAAAACACCTTTCTCTCCCAAGTCAACTGAAATGAAAAACGTAGGCTCTTATCCTGTTTTCACAGGACAGCCACTCCATGTGTGCCATGATTTCTAGAGAGAAGGTTTGGAGGGTCTTAAGGAAGGGTCCACTGCCACTATGTAAGTTTCACCTTGTAGCTGCCATTCTTCCCACACCCACTTCGTGTCTCCCTTTTCATTCTTTCTCCAAAGAAATACATCTGCACCTTCTCTCACCCTGCAGGCATTACTTTCTATTACAAATGCTTACCAAGATATTTTTCTAAAGAAAGAATGTGCTCTCTCAGGAGAAACTCTGATGAATAAAATTATCTCCCAAGTGAATTTTAGAAGAAGGAAAATAACAAGAGCAACTGTTTTCATGTTGATAAATTTTATAATCTCTCATGGAATAATTGTATCCTAAGGAACAGTTTGGGAACCGCTATTCTGGATTGTTCTGAAATTGTCTTTGATAGATGTTCTAATCACTTTTAGGCATTGTCTTAGAAATGCTTTTCTGTGGAAGAACACCATTCTTATAATTTGGCAAGTCCTTTGTATTGTTTGTTTGAGTTTTTGCTTCCTGTTGTTTTTATTTTGATGTAATTTCAAACTCACAGAAAAGTTGCAAGAAGAGTATAAGAAATTTCCATATCTCTCTACCCAGATTCCGTAGTTGCTTATATATTTTGCCCCATTTTGTTTTAATTATTTTCTCTCTATAATGCATATAAATCATATGTGCATATTATTTTCTGAATAATTTAATAATAAGCTGGAGATACATGTTTACTAAATATGAAGCATATATTTTCTAACAAGAATATTCTCTCATGCAGCTGTACTAATCAAAATTAGGAAATTTTACATTGCTACAATACTATTATCTAATCACATACAATACTATTACCTAACAGTCCATAGTCAAATTTCATCAATTGCCCCATTAATGTCCTTTGTAGTTATTTATTATTTATTTATTTATTCTGAGCAGTCCTGGTGGTGCAGTGGTTAAGTGCTTGGCTGCAAACCAAGAGGTCAGTGGTTCGAACCCACCAGTGGCTTCCAGGGAGAAAGAGGTGGCAGTCAGCTTCCATAAAGATTTACAACCTTGGAAACCCTCTGGGGCAGTTTTACTCCGTCCTTTAGGGTTGCTATGAGTTGGAATCAGCTCGACAGCAATGGGT